TTAAATATTAGTTGTAATTCAAATTGAGTCACCCTTCATTCTCTAACCCTTCCGACTCATTCCTTCACCTCGAAGATCGTACGGGTCCTATCCCTGGTTATAAGGATTAAGTTCCTTGACCAAAGATAAGGACCAACGGTGGCACTGTTTTGGGCGGCGTAACAGCGCTTCGTATTTGCGTTTACCCGCACCAAAGACAAGCACAAGTGCTTCCAAGTTGTGGCACGCGTCCACGGAGCGATAAGCCACAAAAGGCGGTACAAGTTGCGCCCTCTACCCTGGCCCCCTCTTAATTCCTTCTTTCCATTAAGACAAAAATACTTTTGGGGCCTGGACGTAACAATTATAACTACATAAAATTTTCAACTAATAAATATTAAATTGTCATTACAACTTATGCACGTTAAATTATTGACATATTGATTTAGCAAATAATTTTTAGCTCTTCGTTCTGTTTGTATACATGTATTACTATATATCTAAATTGTGCATACACATATACATTATATATAATGTATTAAAAATAAAACTGAATCAGTCGATGAGGTGACGCCTTTTAGAGCCAAACACAGGATATTGATGTGAAAGATTTATTTTTCACACTAATATTTATGTTCATATAGATTCATCTCTAATGGGCCTTGATTCAACATTATTTAATTTATATTAATAAAATTGAAGTTTTTAAAAATGGCATAAAGTGTTACTCATCGAAAGAATCAATAGAAAGAAAAGAAGAAAGAAATAATATAATTTCATGCTATTTTTAAAAACTTTAATTCTATTTTTTTTAATTTCATTTACAAAAGTAAAGGATTATAATTAAATTTAAATTTAATTAGGACCAAGTTAAATTAACTGATGCAGTTGATTTTATTTTTTACAAATTCGCTAAAATAAAAAAAATATCAAAAAGCGACGAAGTATCAAGAGAATATAAGCTGCAAAAATTCTTTTATTGAATATCAAAATATTGTTCAATGAAATCGTATATTCTAATTTACATGTCTTCTTAAAATATTATTCAATAAAATCGTATTCTATTTTTAGTTATATGAATTTTTTAGATTATATGTAACATCAATACCTTTCACATTTCCATTTACTTGTATTTATCAAAAATATATTATCAGTTGTATACGATATATGTTAATTAACAAAATAATATTAATTTTCATTGAATACATGTATGTACATTTAAAGAATAAAATCGCACACGCACAGCTTAAATAAACATAATTAATATATTCTATCGTATTGTAATTTCAACAATGACTCATTCGGTATCAAGGAGTGTGCACATTTTCTTGATCGAAGGGAATATTACTTTTATTGCCGGGTAATAACATAGGTATGACGTTAATTAACAAAATAATATTAATTTTTATTGAATACATGTATGTACAGGGTGTTACACATGCATACGAGGCAGTATGCATGTGTAACGACGGGTTGCGCAGCAAACTTTACATGGCCAAGCGTGGTTTAATAGACAATGACAGTGACTTTATAACATAAACTTTATAATATAAATAATAAAACTTTATAGTATAAACTTTAGAATGTATAAAGTCACTGTCATTGTCTACTAAACTACGTTTGGCCATGCAAAGTTTACCGCGCAACCCGTCGTACTGCCTAGTATGTATCTGTAACACCCTTACATTTAAAGAATGAAATCGCACACGCTATACACGCATAGCTTAAATAAACATAATCAATATATTGTATCGTATTGTAATTTCAACGATTACTCATTCGGCATCAAGTAAAGGAGTGTGCACATTTTCTGGATCGAAGGGAATATTACTTTTATTGCCGGGTAATGTCATAGGTATGACTTTAACACGAAACTCATATGATAAAAAATCCTGACAGAAATGATAAAAATCCATACGAGTATTGATAAGTTTTAAACGAGCCATTTCCTTCATCAGAGCCGTTAATTCGGTCTTATAATTTTCGTAATTCTTACGACGTTCAATAGTAGTTACTACCGTAGCTAATTCTTGCACGAATTTCTCGGATTTCACTCTCGTGGCCAGTTTGTACTTTGGCTCCAATCGTTTCCACAGAAACTTGTAAAGACGATCTGTAGCCCAATGTTTCGGACGAGGAAGTCTTGGTGGTCTATATACTTTTCCATTTACTAGAAATGCCTTATCCACTACTTTCGTAGAATTCATGAGCGGCTTCTTCTTCTTTGTATCTTTGTATCTTGTTTGTATAACAAATTTCACTGTTTCCTTTTTTACTGCAGATGCTTTCTTATCGGTCGAGTTTCTTTTCATCGCGGCCATCTCACGACTATTTAGTTTCTTCAATTCCATTTTAATCTTCTTCATTTTCTCACTGTCGAAGCCTGGCGACTTTTGCGCGCGTTCGCTTAGTTGTTTCGCCGAAGTTTCTTTTATTTTGACGAAAAAATCATCTATTTTGTTCAATTTCTTAGATGAACTTTGCTTATTGGAAGAAATAAAACCAACTTCCTTATCAGACCTTGATTCGGATGAATGTACGTGTTCTACATCTATGTCAGCATGTGAATCGTTATTTGCATCTTGTATTATTACATTAGTACTTAATCTACCGATGGGCGATATTGCATTTGCACATGCGATTTCCTTCAAAGTTTTTTCCCTAATGGACTTGAGGTTGGAAATCTTTTTTTCTGACGATTTAGCAATTACACTCTTTCGAGAAACTGATTTTGATGCATTATTGAGATCGCTGTTTTCTAATAGTTTCTTCTCGTCTTCCGATAATATATTAGCTTCCTTAGATCGACTTTTCTCGGCGTTTGATGACACCTCGAGAAATATTGTATAAGAACCTTCCTCATTCGTAGTACTACTCTTTCCTGATTGTGGATTTTTCTATTGCTAAAAATTCACATTCCTGATTAATCCTTGTAGTTTCTCGCTCAGAAGAAGCATGATTATCTTCAAATGAAACATTACTTCTTCTATCACTGATATTACCTTGCTTCAAAATTTCTTCGAACGGATTAGTTGAGCGCTTACGGAAACGTGTTAGAATTCTTGATTTTGGTTTAAAAAATGTGGACCTTTTCGTTCCGCGGAATTCATCGTTATCAAAGGATGAGCTGCTCAAATTTGATTCAATATTATCTCTATCTTGCACCGATACATCTGATTGCTGCTTTTTAGATTTATTTAAAGACAATCTTGGACTTTTACGAATTAAAGATCTATGAATATTGTTTTCCTTATTTTTTTTTGGATTGGATGTAGACGAACTTGCGTTACTATCATAAACTAGAACATCTGCAAACACATTTTTTCCTATGCTTTTCCGCGCTCGCTGCATAAAGTGAGACATAGGTTTTAAATGTTGACGAGGTGTAAAGATGCTTTCATCGCTACTTTCAATCTCAACGTTATTCTCAGGCACTGCCTTCTTAACGTTTGGAGTTAACGAACCAGTTTCAATATCCTCTAGCGCTCTTATTGATTTTCTTTGATCGTCAATATGATCTTTACTCGTATTAATATTTCGATGCATCGAACGCTGCGAGGTTTCCTTTTCAAACGCGACTGATTTTTCCGCAGTACTGCCATTCAAAACATCATCTTCCAACGGTACATCCTGAAAGGCGGTCCGATCTTTCATACTTCCACTTTTTCTTGTGCTCAAAATACTTGGCATTGTTTGAGGCGATCTTATTGATTTCCTTTGATTGTCGAAATGATCTTTACTTGTATTAATATTTCGGTGCATCGAATGCTGCGAGGATTCCTTTTCAAACGCGACTGATGTTTTCGCAGTGCTGGCATTCAAAACATTATTTTCCGTTAGTACATCCTGAAAGGCGTTCTGATCTTTCATACCATCTCCACCTCTTCTTGTTCTAAAAATACTTGGCTTTAATTTCAAAATCTTCAAAGTTGAACTTGAATTACTATCCTCTTCATTTTCTTGCGACCTCCCTTGCAAAGATTCACTGTCCGAATCGATATGTACTTCAAAGCGGACTTGTTTCTTCCGCGTTTTTAATGGCATAGTTGCCTCGGGATCATTCAAAGCATTTGCGAAAGCATTATTAATACTTTTCCTATTACTTGCTTTTAAACAAACCTTCCTATTTCTTAAATTAAGCTCTTTCTCTGATTCAGATGTCTCAGATGTCGAAATTTGCAACACACGACTTTCAACTATTGCTAAAATAATAATATATCTAGGGAATGGAAAGTTACTTTTTAAAAGTAACAAGTTACAGTTACTCGTTACCCAGTAGGAAAAGTAACAAGTTACCGTTACTAGTTACCGATTTTTAAAAGTAACTCGTTACAGTTACCGTTACTTGAGAAAGTAACTTTTCGTTATTTTTCCGTTACTTTTTTTTAAATCGATGACCAACAATCACAGCGGACTGGCCTAGAG